AGTGGCGTTTTACAGATGTAATGTAGCAGACAGGGAAGAAGTTTTCAAGGTAGCGGAAAAAGTAAAAAAAGAAGTGGGTGACGTTACTGTCTTGGTCAATAACGCCGGTATAGCAACGGCTAAATCACTTTTAAATCAAAGTCTCGATGAAATTACACGAGTCATAAACGTCAACGTGATAGCGCATTACTGGGCAAGTATAATATATAATTTACAGAGAAAACAGATCCGAGAGTTCTTTTTCGCTTTGAATATATTGTAACATAAATTAAAATAATATACAAGTTTTTATAAATGTTCTTACGCACGTTAAGAGAAAAAAATGCCTCTTTAAAAAAAATTAAATTTTTTAAATGTATATTCTTAAAATGATGTGTTAAAATTGAAAAGACATTTATGTTCGTTTTCTTGTAAGACACATGTTGAAATTTCATAGACAGAACCTCGATACAGAATCTAACCGTTAACGCAACTATTATAATACCATTTTTGGAAATAAATATAACTGTTTTACTTGTCGCTTGTAATTTAAATGTACTGTGCAATTTGGACGAGTATATGTATTATAACTAAACTTTTGTAAATTGGTGTTTACAAAGTGAATATTATTTTCAGACATTGCGAGCATTTTTGCCAAGTATGATAGAAAAAAATCACGGTCACGTCGTGGCAATTTCATCAATAGTGGCAAGTTATGGATTTGGTCCTTATGGAACGACGTATTGCCCTTCAAAAAGCGCAGTCAGAAGTAATTCATTTCATATTCGACGATTTTATACAAATGAAGATGAATACATTAATATATGTATACATTGCACATATGTGTATACATACATGCACATACAAATTAAAAATATATATATTTAATGTAAAAAATATATATATACATTTACTATACGTAACTATATGAAATAATATGCTAATAGTAAAATATGTACGTATGATAACGTATGATACGTATTATAAAGTACACTTTTCTTACATATTTTGATGTATATATTGTAGCAATGATGGAAGCTGTATCTGAAGAATTACGTGCATTAAGTAATGGAAAATCATCTGTTAAATTCACTACTATTTATCCGGCCCTAGTGCTCACCGGAATAGTAAAGAAGCCAAAGTTTAGGTAAAAGTTAGTCGGGAGAGTTTGTAACCAATGTTTTGCAAAAAATCACACGCTCAGTTCATTTCTTTTATTGCCATATTTAACAAAATCAGATTTTTATTTTAATAGTATTATCTTATTTTATTGTAAACGATCTTTTTATACAATATAACGTTATTAATTAATTAATAAGATATTTAGGTCATTTGTTAGTAGGATAATTCAATTTACCGTACCATGTCCACTTATCTCTTATACATTTTGTATCTTAATATTAAATCCTTTATTTGTTCTTTTATATTATGTTTATATGACTGTCAATAATTTATATTAAACATGTTACCGCTGATGAAAACTAAGTAAAGTTGAAACATATACCGCTAAATCTTATATTTTGCATTATTTTTGTCAGTTATGGATAATTAAATGCTAACTTCCTTGTTTTTAAGTGCTCGTTAGTTTGGCCTCTTTTTAATTCTGTTTGTAATAGATTTTTTTTGTATAATGAAAAAATTATTTAATTAATAAAAATATTTATAGCAGTTATTAAAGTAATTATTATAGACAAGATACAATTTATGTTTACCAAAATAGATTTCCATGGTTAATGGGAGGACTTTTACCGCAAAAAGTGGCTTCAACAATAATTGATGTGCAAAGACAGAATTATGAAAATAAAAGCATACCTTTATTTTGGCTGCCTCTTATTAACGTATTAAGGTATGTAATCATCCCAATAAAACTTTAATTATAATACACATATAATGTATTTTAAAATATATGACATTAAGCCGCAGAACAATTCTGTAAAGACTGTAAATATATTACTAATACTAAACACTGTTGTACTATGATTAGTATTTTGATAAAAATATCATTATTAGTTTAGATATTTATTATTTTTATGTCTAATAAACTTTTACATATAAATTTTTTTCAAAACTGTGGATTTAAAAATAATATTCACTTAGATTTTTACTATTTTTGTATCATAAAAATGTAATTTTCATTTCAGAATTTTACCCGATAAAGCGATCAAATGCATAATAGACTTCCTCGATTTCCGTGTTGATCCAGATGATTAAAAAATAACAAGACATGTAATTTGAAATATAATTTTATAACACAATTTATTATTATATCAAAAATATAATTCCGTTCTTATTTTTATTGCTGTTATAATCAACAAGTATTGATTTGATTTTATTAGATAATATTTTGATGTTCAATCCGTCTGACTTCAAGTAATCCTAATTTGATATAAAGCTTATATTACTTTCTTGAGTACAAATTCTTTTAAATGAATACTTGTTATGAGTAAAAAAATTTACTGCATATGTTACGAGATAATGCTTTCTCAATTTTTTTTATGTTCGAATAAATTAATGATATATAAGGAATCCGCGACGGTATTTGAACGCATCAAACATTTCTGTCTTTTATAATATTGTATTAATAAATATATTAATAATTTTATTGACTTGCAGTTTAGATTTATAATCATTAACACAAAAGCCCTTTACAAATTAAATGTTTTCTAGATAAGCAAACGCGCTTGCAAGATTTGATTCGCCGAGATAATTTTATAAAATCTCAATTCGGATTAATCTATGTTTCAAAAAGCTTACAATTAGTAATTTTAAAACTTATTAAATATCTTTAACTCTTTCCACCCAAAACTCTAATTTGCAATAGAAATTAGTGGTGATATTCTAAATTTTTTGACAATTCCGGTCATTCTTTAACATATTAAACAAATATTATCACAGGCTTGGTTGATAGGCTATTACTTCTTTTGCACTTGAAATTCTATAGCAAGAATTTCGACAATGTATTAAATATTCTATTGAACATACGATGTTCCCTTGACTTTATCTTGTCTTTTAACAAAGATATATATATATAATATCTATAAACACACACGCGCGCGTGTATGCGTGCATGTTTGTGTTTTTGACAGATCTATATAATAAATTTTTCTAAGGATTTCTATAAAGAAGATTTTGAGAAAATTCTACATAAGATTTATTATTAACACAATGTTAGAGAAACTGTTTTTTATTGTTAAATTTTGTTTTATTTTTTGACAATATTTTTTATTTTGTATTTAACTCTCGAGCAGTTATAAATGATAAATGTTATAAATAATCTTCTGTTATAATAACTCGATTCATGTCGAATAAACAACAAAATTAATGATATTCTCCTTAGACAGCAGAATTCCAAATTATTAATTACAGATTCAAACTTTGCATAATAATTTATATCTCTTTTTATGTCATACGGAGAAAAAAGTTAAAACTATTATTCTCATGCAATAAGATCTTGCAGATTTAGCGATGAGTTACAAACTTGGATTTTGAACAATAATATTTCTATTTATGCTAGATAGAAAACAATAAAGATTTTTTTCATGTAACTACAATAGGACATTGATCTGTGCACCGCCTGTTCCGCGCTGCATTTATCACAATATAGCAGAGTCGCATCATTATACAATCTATTATCCATGAAAGGAAGTTTTTCATAACTGGAAACCCCCTCATACTTGTTTTCGCTTTAAAAACAACTAGAAATAAGAACTGGCATACTTTTTTGAATCTGATTATAGTTAAATACTAAGCTTTCATCAGAATAGACTGAAAAGAATTTAATGTATCTTACTACAAAACAGTGGATAGCGAATTATGAATAGCGAAAGCAGTCAGATGAAACGCATTCTTTTTTTTCTTACTTGTAATAAATAATAATTCTGTGTAATAAATACAGGCGCCGACTTGGGGGTGGGGGAGGAAGGGAACAGAGTATTTTTCACTCCCCTAATAAAATTATTCAGAGGCCAACGCCCTCTTCCAATAATTTTTATCTTTTTGTCTTTTAATAAAAGATTTTTTAACAACTGCAAATAATTTCTATTTCAAAACTGCGAGAAAACATCGACTAGACGATACACTACGAATAAATTATTAAACTGTTCTCGATTTTGTGTACTAAATATTCTATTTGTATTTTGTTTTATATGTATATGTATAATAAATATATAATCTACATATTTCTGTATACTTCTGCCCTCCTCCCTCCATACCTCTTCTCTAAAGACTATTAAAAAAAAGATTTTAATGGCTTAAAAAAGGTCATTATTTGAAATGCTTTTGCCTTGCTACCTCCCCTTAATATTTTTCCCAAGTCGGCACTATTGATAATAAATTCCTTTTTTTATAACAAATAAGAAGAAATTTAAAATTCTTTTTTAAAAACATAGAAGCACGTTATTTCTTCAAAAAAAGAAATTATACAGATTTTCGACTTTCCACGCGATATCTCATATCCCTCCCTCCCCCGCGATAACCCATATCCCCCCCCCCGCTTACAGAACAAAACAAAATTTATAATTATTCCACGTGATTTTCGACTTATCATGCAAAATTGTTAAAACTATACTTTTAACTATAGTGAAATCGGATATTAACGGGTTATGGATTTTGATGCTAACATATATAAGTATATAAAATTCATGACTGCTTTTGCAAGAAAATGTTCGAATTACAGAGATAATACAGATAATACGTATGTATGTAAAGAAATGTATAATTATAAATAATATACAATAGTATATTACCCTAGTATATTACCCTAATAGTATATTACCCTCTACGAAGTAGAGGGTCGTCTGAAAAGTTTTGTGCTTCAACGTAAAGATGACATTACTCATCAAAATCATTCTAGTCCTAATTTAAATCGTATGTACATGCTTTGAAAGATATCTGTAAAAATTTTGGAGGCTCGGTTGTTGTTTAACAGTCATTTTTGTGCCAATAGATATTATGTGTTTCTGTAAAAATGGAAAAAATCGAATATATCGTGCGTTAAATTCTTACATTAGACAGATAGGTCCCCGTAAACAGCGTTCAACTCACAATCAGCTTTAATTTGCGCAAGCGTATTGCCTTTCAAATGCAAGAATTTAATCCGCGACATAATATTTAATTTTTTCCATTTTTACAAAAACACTGACATTGAGCGATTAACACAAATGACTGTTAAATAACAATTATGTGAGCGTCAAAATGGCTACAATTTTCGCAGATATCTTTCAAAGCATGTACAATTTTAGTATCAGAATGATTTTGACGAGTAATGTAACATTTTCATGTTGAGGCTCAAAACTTTTCAGATAATTCTCATAAATGTTATATATATATATATATATATA